AGAGAGAGAGAGAGAGAGAGAGAGAGAGAGATTTACTCATTCACTGATTTAATGAATAGAGTAATGACCAGCGATAGGCTAATGACAATATAAATCTTCGAGCACATAACTTATACCCAGGGACAATTTTATTTATTATTTCTCTCTCTCTCTCTCTCTCTCTCTCTCTCTCTCTGGCTGTCGCCACTCATGCCATTGTCCACCACTGATTGATTGACATCCATATATATCTAACCCCTCATACATATAATGTGTACAACTATTTGAGCGATTGATTAATCGCAGCGCAAAATTTCCAATACAATAAAACCTCTGATATTGAATCCCACGCAACATATAAGTCAACAGCAAATCACAAACTAAAAAAAGTATTTTAGCCACCAAAAAGGGTTCATAGCATACGTACTATACTGTACTCACGAGTAAAACATGTAAACAATGATTGATATCAGTCGAGTACTATGGGATGTATGGGTTATCTATGGGACTGAACTGTAAGGGACTGCAAAAGGCATTAAATTAAATGTATGGATACAAGTGTTCAGTCTATAGAGGGTCTGAGTTTATGTACGACAAGACATATAGAGTTAAACACATGAAAAATACACAACAATAAATAAATATAATTTGATTGCAATAAAAATCTAGATAAATCTTTACAAAAAATATACACTACTATTTATGTACTCCCTATAGTCTGGTTTATATTGAACACTGGATTTAATTTAATGTATTGAATTAATTAAGTATTTACAATTAATATATGTTTAATTCCAGCATGATAGGCAATTTTAATTATATAAATTAATTACAATAATCAATTAAGTTGATTTGAATTAATACCAATAATGTCGTATGTTTTATTTTAAAAGTCTATTTTAAATATGTTGTTTTAATATAATTTTGATTTGTAAATAATTATGAATATGCTTACCCTTCTTATAGACTGTAATTTAAATGCAATTAATATATATTAATATAAATGTAAATTACATTAACTCGTTAGTTGGATTGTATGGGCGACGATGTGTTAATTTTTAAAATATACAAAATTTCTAGCAAATCAATTTTACTATTAAATTTTTTATGAATGAAACTTCCTAGTACATAACTTTAAAACAAATTCCAGTTTTCAATATATTTAATATATTCAATATATTCAATATTGGTTCAATAATATTCAATGTTACATAAGTACACAATTATCACCATAAGTATAATGAAACCTAACAAACCCCTAGAACACATCACAAAAATTAAACATGTTAATACTTACACTGGACGATAATAGCCACATGTGCCTGTGCCTGACCATGGCGATTGGTCACCACACAGGTATAATTGCCACTTTGATCACGGGTAACACCACCAGCGCCGCCACCTGTGCCACCAGTACCGGCACCCGTACTCCCGGTTGTGTTAAACGTCAAATGCCGGCCAACGGCCAAAATATGGGCCGTATTGGACGCGTGGGTCCAGTAGTAGTTGGCCGTAGGGTTGGCCGACGCCGTGCAATATATCTTATCTTCACCGATGGGGTCGCCCTCCAAGAGCTCCAATCGGGCCACCGATACCTTCACATCGTGTGGTGGATCTAATTTGGGTGATAGTGAATAAACATGATAATTAAATATACATTTATCATAATAAATTAAATTGTTGAACAGTATGTATAACATGTTTATAACATGTATGACTAGAAATATGTAAATATAATTAACAAAACATTTATTTTATGTCTACCATTAATTATGTATTTTTATCAAATTTAGAGCATAATGAATTTATTCTAATTTATTGTATTGGCATAAATGCAATCTATGTAAAAATGAACAATTTATTATATGATAATGGCAATAAATTATCATAATATTAATTTAATTGTAATTGAAATGTAGTGTAAAAATTTGCTTATTATATGGTGTTTGTTTAAATGATGAAACTAATTTTTCTAAACATTATATTGGTAGAATACTGTATAATATCAATATAATATAGCTCATAAAATAAAGCTCACAACCATTAACCACAATCAATCAAACTAATGAAATTTAATTGATATTTAATGATAATTTCATTTTGCCATTTATTAACCCATATTATATATTTATAACATAGATTTTATTTATTAATGACAACGACTACAGCCAACCACTACTGACTTTCATTCAGCAATTAAATGATTAAACATTTAGCTGTAGTTTTGCTGCAAATATATTGCAAATATGAATTAATTATTACTATGGATTGGGATTAAAGTCAATGTGAAGCAAAATGTCCTTAATGATTTTTTTTGTCGGTGTGACTTTTTGGTTGTAGTTTTTGTGCCCATAGAATATTCTCCATATTGTATAATATACTGTATATATAGAATATTCTGTATGCTTTTGGTATTGCTTTCAATAAATTGCTTAATTCTTATGGGATTTAAGGCATAAATATTATATATGTTATTCATATTTACGTATATACTATACAACAAAATATATGAATAGATATATCATTTATATACATGTATAAGAATATTAATTCTTGTATGAAATGAGTGTTTGTGTGTTTATATGCAAACAATTCAGAGAGAGAGAGAGAGAGAGAGAGGAGAGAGAGAGAATAATTGTTAGACCTTTGATTAAAAAGCAAACAATATGTTTTGTTTGATATCCTCAAACTGTGTATAATTTATTATCTAGAATATTCATATATTCCTTAACATATATTACAAACCTATTTAAACATATATTTGTTTAATATTTGATTTGCCTTTAAGTTATTCAGTATTTTTAGTTATGTTTATGAAATTTTCTAGTAATATATACAATGAGTATTTATAACAGGCACAAGACTGCATGTATTGTATAGTAATTTATAAAGTAATAAATTTAATGCATTTTGATTTGAATTTTGATTACAATATATCGCAAAATATTCTGTACACAGAATTCAAATCAGAAGTTCAATGGACTTTCTAAATCACTCTCAATGATGTATTACTAGCATAATATTACCATCAATTAAATACTTATATTCTCGTAATATTTATGCAATGTTATAATGCATAAAATAAATAAAAATAATATTACCATGATAATAAATCTATCATATTGACATATACGGTACATTATATTAAATCCAGTTGATTAGTAGCTTAAACTAAACAAGTTAAAACATGTACATTTGCTAACAATTAAAATATGTCATAAATCAGGGGTAAAATTAAACAAATTAAAAATTGCATGTTTCCTAAAAAATACAATAAACTTACATTCATGTCGGTAAACCAGTGACGACCTGACACCGGGACCCACGCCATTACCATCGCAGGCGCAGGTGATAACATCATGATCATTTAGGGCCGTACTATTGTGAACATGCAAATAACTCGTCAACGACCCAAACGCGCCGTTCCGCTCATCCAACTGGTGCTCCACAGACTCGACGTGATAATAATAATCGGTCAACGGATCAGTTATCGGGGGTAGACTGTCGTTGTTGCGAAACCATTGGACAGCACATGTCGGGTGACACTCTACTCGGCACGACATGGTTAGCGATCGGTTGGCCAACGATCCCAGCGTAGGCTCTAACCCGTGCACCAGTCGGGGCGGGGCTAAGATAGGGTAAGATAACAAAATTAACATGTTAGACATTTATATACCCTAATCACACGTCTATAACTCTTGGTAATAATACATACTTTTAACGTCGAGCCACAGGTTAGCCCACCGGCCCTGGCCTACGGTGTTGATGGCGGCACAGGCGTAGTCACCCCGTGTGTGAACATCCGCCGGTCCCACCCGTAACAAGTGATTCTCGGCCACCGATACTGACTCTACCCGTCGGCCATTATGGGTCCATATAAATGTGTGCGCGGCCGGATTACCATGGTCGTTGCACTGGCATTCAAGTGTCAATGTCTGGCCCTTTATAGCGTATGGCTGGTCGCTGTCCAGCACCGATAGTCTCGCATCGCCCGGCGCGTCTGTACGGGTGAATAAACATGGTCATTATCTAGGGATTAGCTTGGTTATATTTGTGATTTTGTTAAGATTATTATTATAGTTAGTTATATGTATAATATTGTGTGTCTGCAAGAATATTCTGTATGTTTGGTGTGCGATATATGGTATGCCTGTGTGTGTATAGAGAATATTCTGTGCCAATGAGAGTATTAATGGGATTAAACGGTTAATCCCAATGATTAGTGAGTGAGTGCGAGGGAACATACCATCGATCAAATGGTATGTGTGTGTTGTGTGTGTGATATGTGCCATAGGATTAACCAACACTGGCTATAAGTCATCTCTCTCTGAATTGTTTGCATATAAACACACAAACACTCATTTCATACAAGGATTAATATTCATATACATGCATATAAATGATATATCTATTCATATATTTTATTGTATAGTATATATGCACAATATTTATGTCTTAAGTCCCATAAGAATTAAGCAATTTATTGAAAGCAATACCAAAAGCATACAGAATATTCTGTATATACATTATATTATACAATATAGAGAATATTCTTTGGGCACAAAAACTACAACCAAAAAGTCACACCGACAAAAAAATCATTAAGGACATTTTGCCTCCATTGACTTTAATCCCAATCCATATTAATAATTAATTCATATTTGCAATATATTTGCAGCAAAACTACAGCTAAATATTTAATCATTTAATTGCTGAATGAAAGTCAGTAGTGGTTGGCTGTAGTCGCTGTCATTAATAAATAAAATCTATGTTATAAATATATAATATGGGTTAATAAATGGCAAAATGAAATTATCATTAAATATCAATTAAGTTTCATTAGTTTGATTGATTGTGGTTAATGGTTGTGGGCTTTATTTTTATGAGCTATATTATATCGTACAGTTTGGAAAAATTACTTTGATCATTTAAACAAACACCAAATAATAAGCACAAATAATAAATTTACACTACATCTCGATTACAATTAAATTAATATTATGATAATTTATTGCCATTATCATATAATAAATTGTTCATTTTACATAGATTGCATTTATGCCAATACAATAAATTAGAATAAATTCATTATACTCTAAATTTTATAAAAATACATAATTAATGGATAAAATAAATGCATAAAATAAATGTTTTGTTAATTATATTTACATATTTCTATGCATACATTACAAGCATGTTGTACATACTGTTCAATAATTAAATTTATTATGACAAATGTATATTTAATTATCATGTTTATTTACTATCACCCAAATTAGATCCACCACATGATGTGAAGGTATCGGTGGCCCGATTGGAGCTCATGGAGGGCGACCCCATCGGTGAGGACAGGATATACTGCACGGCGTCGGCCAATCCTACGGCCAACTACTACTGGACCCACGCGTCCAATACGGCCCATATTCTGGCCGTTGGCCGGCATTTGACGTTTAACACAACCGGGAGTACGGGTGCCGGTACTGGTGGCACAGGTGGTGCTCCTGGTGGTGTCACACGTGATCAAAGTGGCAATTATACCTGTGTGGTGACCAATCGCCATGGTCAGGCACAGGCACACGTGGCTATTATTGTGCAGTGTAAGTATTACCATGTTTAATTTTTTGTGATGTGTTATACGTTTTGTTATTTTTTAAATCATACTTATGGTATTGATAAGTGATAATTGTATTATGAAACATTGATTATTATTTAATCAATTAGTCTAGTAAAATTTTTAAAAATTATATATTGAGATGTTTCCATTGGAAATTTCATTTAATAATCATTTATAAAAGAAAATGCAACAGTAAAATTGATTTTCTAAAAATGTTATTTATTTTAAAAATCTACACACGGTCCACAATAAACCAAATAACTAGTTAATGCAATTCATATTTATATTAATTTATATTAATTGCATTTAAATTACAGTCTATAAGAAAATAAAAATATAAATAATTATTTACAAATCAAAATTATTTTTATAGTTTATATTTATAAATTAAATGATATATTAAAACAATATTTAAAATAGACTTTTGAAATAAAACATATGAAATAATTAGTGTTAATTCAAATCAACTCAATTGATTAATGTAATTAATTGATATAAATAAATGTTGGCTAACATTTAAAAATGACAAAATGACATTATACTTATAATAACTATTATATTGAGATAAATAAATTTACAATTAAAATTGCTTATCATGTTCAACTTAAACAAATATTAATTGCAAATACTCAATTAATTCAATAAATTAAATTAAATTAAATTTAGTGTTCAATATAAACCAGTCTATAGGGAGTACATAGCAGTGTATATTTTTTTGTAAAGATTTATCTAGATTTTTATAGCAATCAAATTATATTTATTTATTGGTTGTGTATTTTTCATGTGTTTAACTCTATATGTCTTGTCGTACATAAACTCAGACCCTCTATAGACTGAACACTTGTATCCATACATTTAATTTAATGCCTTTTGCAGTCCCTTACAGTACAATCCCATAGATAACCCATACATCCCATAGTACTTGACTGATATCAATCATTGTTTACATGTTTTACTCGTGAGTACAGTATAGTACGTATGCTATGAACCCTTTTTGGTGACTAAAATACTTTTTTGTTAGTTTGTGATTTTAATGTTGACTTATATGTTGCGTGGGATTCAGTATCAGAGGTTTTATTGTATTGGAAATTTTGCGCTGCGATTAATCAATCGCTCAAATAGTTGTACACATTATATGTATGAGGGGTTAGATATATATGGATGTCAATCAATCAGTGGTGGACAATGGCATGAGTGGCGACAGCCAGAGAGAGAGAGAGAGAGAGAGAGAGAGAGAGAGAAATAATAAATAAAATTGTCCCTGGGTATAAGTTATGTGCTCGAAGATTTATATTGTCATTAGCCTATCGCTGGTCATTACTCTATTCATTAAATCAGTGAATGAGTAAATCTCTCTCTCTCTCTCTCTCTCTCTCTCTCT